CACCACAATCAGCAAAGAAGAAAAAATAAAAACATTTGCACTAGAAGGCACTAAAATTAGTAACTCACAAAAACAGGACATCTTTGTGTATGGCAGAAATTATGAGAGCGGTAGAAAACCCAGATGACACGAATATCCCTATAGCAACAAGGAAAAGAGCGAAAAATTCTAAGATAATTAGTGATAATTTATACAAAACTAGTTATACAGACAAGGGATTAGAAAACGTACTAGTGGGAAATGCACGCGGCACCAACCGCAGGACATCTAGGACTAACCAAAACAATTGATAAATGTAGAAATAGCTACTACTAGGTAGGGATGTTGAAAGATATCGAAAAGTACATAAAAGGATGCGTTGACTGCCAATCACGGAAAGGACAACCCTACAGAAAAGTCCCAGATCCTCTGCAACCAATAAAAGTGGGATGCGTTATGGACAAAGTGGGGATTGACCTTCTCGGTTCGTTTAGGAGACGCAATAATGGCAAAACAATGATAATAGTTGCTACTGATTATGCATCACGATCGTGGTGACGAATATGCTACAACTAAGAGAAAGGCCTTGAGTATAAGAGCCATAGCAGCAGAAAACATACATAAAAGGCAAAGGAAAGACAAAGTGAGGTTTGATCGCAAACACAGGGATTTGCAATTAGATATAGTAGAGTGAAATACAAAAAGTTGTAGCGAAAAAGAAGGTCACTGTCCACGTTAGTAGGATATTACCCTACTACGATACGTGGACCGCAGAGTCCCCAATTTTAGAAGACTTACTAGAGGATTCAGAGGAAGATCAAATAAGTGATATCGACGACAATGAAGAAATCAAGGAAGATTAAGGCAGGGCCTCAAGTTATATAGAATAGACCCGTAAACGAGCAAAGTCCGGACCAATACTCATAATTGTAACATATAGTATAAAAATAAATTTAAATAGCAAGACATATAATTTTTCGAATAAGCAACTAATCTTAGAATGAAAGAGCTTGCAATAGAAGTCACTCAAGAGCCCCTAAAATTAATGTAATAAAATGCAAGCTAGCAAAAGTTCGCGACTTTGGCCGAGGTTAATTCGTTGACGAACGTGAAACCTGAAGCCTAAGTCGAATTATCTTTTAAGTAAAATACAAGGAATATTTTTATTTCCAATAGGGATAGGTAGAATTGAAAGTTTAGGGAATGCCCATAGCATACTGTATATAGGTACCTACGGCTCCGTAGATGTAATACAACTAAAAATATAAGAATAATCAGCAGGAATAAGCTTATAGACACTTTGGGTAATTTAGGAACACATATTGTATTAATTTTAAGTTACGGGTTTACCAATAAAAGAAACTGTGAAAGGCTAATAAGGGTCCTCTTAGCTTGATGCATTAATACACGCTCATCATCGAAAACTCTAATACCTTGAAGTCCACGGGACAAGGGGGAAGACACATTTCAAAGCGGACCGTCTCTGATACCAATACTTCGAAACGCAGCCCCTAAATGGAACAAAACATTATGAACAAAGAAATAGTAAGAAAACAAAGTTACCTTGGATTGAGGATCCCGGCAATGCAGCTGCCGAAAAACTCGCTTCTTCAGGAATTGAAAAGATGATGAAATAAACGACGAAACCACATACACTTGACTTACCACTCATGGTCAGAACGAAAAACTAATAATCGATTACTTACTTCCGCATAATAGACCATTTTACAGCAAAGCAGTTGACCAGTGGCAGTAGCAAAAAAGCACCTTTAACCAGGGGCGCAACAAGTAACAGAAGTAAAATAGCCCACACAACTCCTAAAAAGACAGTCAGTCACAATGAAGGTCCTCGAGTCAGTCGCAAGTCGCACAGCAGAACAAACCACTGTGACAGTTCACAAACCAGTATTGTTCGTCGATTTTTAACTGACACTTTCCGTATGAGGAGCGAGGGGGTGTTTCATATGACAAAAACAGGTGTTACGTCAGGTCACCATTGGCGTTCTAATGTAGGGAGCCACCAGCTCACATTCCGTCCGAGTATCAGAATAAAATCGACGGACGATAGGATACTAGACATGCCACGATGATTGTTCACAAGCCAGTGGGACTATTGAACAAACCATAGAACTGTCCATCAACCAGTGGGACAACCCATAAGCCACTATTTCCTTAAGCCATACGAATGTCCACAAGCCAGTAGGCTAATTGAACAATCCATGGGACTATTCAGCAACCAGCGGGACAGCTCATAAAACCAACAGAACAATCTACAAGTCACCACAACTACCCACAAGCCAGTGGGACAGCCGGTAAAGTACTACCACTTCCAACAAGTCACTGCCCAGAAGCAAGTTGGCACACACAGAATCCAGTAATTTACATACCACAACAGACCAAACCAGTCGATGAGGCCGAACAAAGAAGAAGCTGTAATTTTAATAATTTTTAAGTTTTTTAAATTGTAAACACATGATGTTCTTTCACTGTCATTGGGGACCAATGTTTCCACAGGGAGGGCAAATGTCAACTCATAAATATCTACAGCCCACAGACTATAAAAATAAAATGAATTTGGCGCTCGTACTATAGAAAATCAACTGACTCTGCTGACGGTAGAAATAATTCTTGTATAAATTACGCGCACCGCAATGCAGTCGGGCAGAGGTTAGTCTCCACAGCCTTAAGCTCCTCGAAGGTACAGGCCAAAAGACTTTTTCTCCAAGTTGACTTGCTACAGTTCGACTGAGATCCTAAGGTGAATGTCATGCTCCATCCATTCCACGTCTCCAACCTAGACCTATGGAAACTAAGTTCCTCGAGGGTACATTTTCATGGGGCTGTTTGGGCACTATTGATGGCGTAGGGCTCTGCTTAAAAACTGGTATTCCAAGGGAATGTTATATGATGGCCATTCAGGGAAGAACATTTACTGCTATCTACTTTTAGTAAACCCTATCAACATAAGTTGAGGTGTAACAATAATTTACTACTAGTGGTGAAATCTTTACTTTCCCCTCATAACCTTTTTTCAGGATAAATCCTTAGCCGACGCAGCCAAGTGTACAGGGTGGTCCAAATTGGACACTTTCTTATGGAAACATCCTTTATTTTTAGAGATAGAAAAAAATGAACCCCCCACTCTGAGGCTCAAATTTCATGGAATTTTGATTGGGGCAAACCGCATTTTGATATCTTCAACCGTTTAGCCGCTAGAGGGCGATTCTCGATTTTGAGCAATACTGTGAAACCCTTCATAACTTTTTTGTTTATGAAAATAATTGATTTCCGTGAAGACTTTCTAGAAGCACTTTTTTAAGAAGAATTCAGTGACGTTCTCAGTTTTTTTCTAATGGACTCCGATTTCGAGATGTTGACCAAAATCCGATTTTTTTCAATAGAACACCCTATATATTACTAGGTCATTGGAAAGCTCTGCTTTTGCTGATTTCAATGATTTAAAGTTCGATAGGTTTATCCCTAACAGTTTTCGAGAAAAAAAAATTATTTCTGTTTTTGTCATAAGAAACAATGTGTTAGAAAGAGACCTTTCCCGTTTTCCTTACAGATATAAATTCCTTTTCCAACACATTGTGTCTTATGACAAAAATCAAATTTTTTTTCTTTCTCGGAAGCCGTTGGAGATAAACCTATCGAATTTTATATCATTGAAATCAGCAAAAGCAGAGCTTTTCAATGAGGTATTAATATATAGGATGTCCTATTGGAAAAAATCGGATTTTGGTCAATATCTCGGAATCGGAGACAAATAGAAAAAAGCTGAGAACGTCACTGAATTCCACCTAAAAAAGTGCTTCCAGAAAGTCTTTACAGAAATGAATTATTTTTATAAATAAAAAAGTTATGAAGGTTTTACAGTATCGCTCAAAATCGAGAATCGCCCTCTAGCGGCTAAACGGTTGAAGATATCAAAATGCGGTTTGCACCAATCAAAATTTTATGAAATTTGAGCCTCAGAGTGGGAGGTCCCTTTTTTGTATCTTGCTCAGAAATTGACGTTTCCTATTAAAAGTGTCCAAATTGGCCCACCCTGTACATAAAGTGGTAGCACCGCTGACCACAAACAACTTAAGCGTGACTATACATATTATAACCTGAGCGACTTTCTCTCCATGTATCCACCCTACACTCCCCGTCACTAAGAGGTTGTGACAATATAGAAAATTAAAATACCATATCTCTGACCAAAATGCCAGATTTCAATTAATGTTAAAATAAAATGTAAAAGTCACAAAAAGTGTTAATGCTAAAGCTAGCGTAGCAGTGATTGCTTTCATTTTATTTGCATTGTTAAGTTTGATAAGAGAAATACAATTTTAGCAAATTCTCAATGCAGAATTTTAGCAAAAGTTTCACTTCTGTAACATCTCAGCTAATTGAATTTGGAACGGAATTCTGCCTACATAAGCTCCGCTGATATAATATGTGTCGAAGTCCTATAGAAATTCTAATCAAATAAATATTCAACTAGGCACGGAAAAGCACGTAGAAGTAAAATTAAACCCCCAACTTCTATTTCACACTTTCCACAGTTTCGCTAGTACGTTTTCTTCTAAATTCATTTCCTCAAACATGCTGTTATAGTGAACGCTTAACCCAAATTGAAATGCAAATGAACCTTTTTAAAACGGAAATAGCAATCCCAGAAAAGGGTTTCAGGGTCTTGTGAAAAATATGTATGAGGAAAAGAGAATAAAACCTATGTCTATATTAAAAAAGGTTATAGTTTGTCTCAGGCAAAGCAAATTAAAACTATCCAGAAAAGCATAAATTCTAAATAGAAAACTTAATTTAATCAAATTAGAATATGCATAAAGCAACAAATCTAAATTAGTCGAGAAGTACTTTATAAGATATTTTATCACGATGCAAACTTTGCTGTCTATCTAACAAACTAGAGTTGCACGTAGTTTACCAAACTTGTTCAAGGACTTTTGGAAATATTGAATAATTTAAATTTTTAATTAAAACCAAGTTAATTTTTTAAGCAATTCACTTACCCACGACGTTGAGTTGTATGAAAATACTTGTAGGTGGATGTGATGACACTTGACACTCATACAGGCCTCCGTCTCGTTGCTGGACGAATTTGATTTGCAGTGTCCAGTCCTGAAAGGCCAAAAAAGTCTACTCTATTATTATTTGTATATTTATATTTAAAATTAATTTTTATTCATAATTTTGGAATATATTTATTTTATAATCCATAAATCTATAAACTTTCTCGTAAATATTATCTTCAAGAAAATTAATTTTCATTCTGCCCGTTTATTAGCTATTATGCTGTTCAGAAATGAATAGCTGTCTTAATTAATAGCCTCGGCGAATATTAATCAGGAAACTGCTGCCAGATATACATAATTCATGTAGGTGAATTCCGTTTGTGATAGCAGGTACGGTAATATATTTTGGCAAATGGTATAAATTTAATTAAATTAGTGAAATTTCTTATCAACGACTACCAAAACTAGCCCGTTCTTGAAGCTCTACGAATCCAGCGAGTTACATAATTTTTTTGACAATAATCCAGGAAAACAATTTTAGTGCGAAGGCGAATTGCATTGCATCTAACAATACACAAAGTGTATTTTGTTGAATGTTTGATGAATCTAATCAGGATGTTTGCCAGATGGTGAAGACGTCACAGTGCGAGCAGGAAGTTACTGAGTCCACAAGCCTTAAAAAGGGTGTGATCCTAAAATAAGAGTTTTAGAAAAAAGAATCTAAGAACAAATTTTCAAACCGCACTAGGCTACGACCAAGCGTTGCGAAGATACCGTGGTATAAAGCTCCCACTCCCAGTACTGTGACGTCATGTGCACAAACTGAGTCCTTTGGCCGGCGCTGAGCGCGCGTTGGCTCATGCTTGCTGCATACATTATCGTATTGATTTTTGCGTTCTCGCCCCTATTGCTGCGTCAGTTTTAATAGGTTTTGAGTTTTGCGTTTGTTTATGACGTCACGCGATGAATAGACAAAACCTTATTTAGGCGTATCAACCTTATTATTTTGAGTAGCGATGCGAGATTTTCACAAAAGTTCTTAGAATTTTTTTCTTTGTTTTTTGAAGACAAGTTGTAGACAGTTGTATTTTAAGGTTATATCCCCTTCAACAACGTACCATCGTCACCAAAAGTATCTGGGACAAAAATAATTCATATTGATCTCCTGGACTAAGTCTACTGTCATTCATTTCAATGCATTTAATTCATAATTTGACAAATATTTGACACCTAAAATCATATAATAGTACAAGAGCTAACATGATGCTGTCCCAGTTACTTTTGGTGACGATGGTACCTATCAGACAAATTATACAGGGTGTTCCGAAACTATAGTACCAAAAATTGAGGAATGATAGAACTCGCCAAAATAAACGTTTTTTACTTATAAACCCATAGGCGCATGCGCTTTGTTTAGGTGAAAATAGGTCTGTTTCTGCTAGTCAGAAAACTAGTTTCAACCAATTAAATTGACTCTGACTGGTTTGTCATTTCTGCAAGAAACAGACCCTATAGCACATTACAGTCCGCACTGTGGTAGCCACCTTGCACACGGAGAAACGTGTTTGAATAAGCAGAACCTGTGTTATTTAATAATACAGACCCAAAGAATCCTTGCAGTATTTATTTTAAATAATAATTCACATCAAAAGATGCTCAAAACTACGACCACCCCGCCCGCCTCAATGCATGTGTAACAGCGTTGTATCAGAAATATCGAGTAGATTTCTGCAGAAAAACCCTTCCCGAAACTGTTTCCCTGTATGCCAGACAAAACATAGGGCACCAACACGACAGACCACCACCACATTACTTGTTAGCCTTAAGAAAACATCTCAACGAAACATCTGGAAAGAGTGATTGTTAAGGGGGCATGGACTCCACGTTCACCAGACCTGACGGAATGCGATTTTTTTTTTATGGGGTCATATGAAAGCTCTTGTTTACGACACTCCAGTTGAAACAGCTAGATGAAGTTAGTAGGAAGGATTTTTGCAGCAGCTGCTGAAATTCTCGAAACACCATGAATTTTTCAACGTGTTCAGGAGGCTATATGCTACATCGCTGTCACGCACGTATGGAGGTGAGTGGTCGTAGCTTTGAGCATCGTTTGCTATGAATTATTGTTTTTAGTAAATACTGCAAGCATTCCTTGGGGTTTGCATCATTTAATAACACAGTTTCTGCTTCAAACACGTTTCTCCGTGTGTAAGGTGACTACCACAGCGCGACCTGTAATGTTCTATTATCACATAACCAAAGCGCATGCGCCCATGTGTTTATAAGTGAAAAACGTTTATTTTGGGGCGATATATCAACCCTTAAGTTTTGGTACAATAGTTTCGGAACACCCTGTATAGATACCTAGCTCTACTTTCACATTTCAAACTTAACGAATTATTAAATAAATTGAAATTTAAAAATAAACTGGCGTATGATGGACAGAAAAGAATTATGTAACGTAGAAAAAGTCTTGATAAACATGACCCAATTAACTAATCTACTTTGTCCTTCAGCACAACTTTTCTCTGTCAGTAAGATTTAGAGGACACACATTTTTTAATTTAAGTGAATACCTAATATAATTTATTTATATAGATCAATTTCCATGATAAAAAAAAATAACCATTAAACGAAGATTCACGGGCCACTTACTATCAACATCATCATCATTAGCATCATATCAGACTCAAGGATGAAGAACCCTTTTAAATAAAATGAGATCAATAATATTATCCACCCTTTTTACTAATGAATAATGTATATCTTGCATCGAGTTCGATATTGTCCTTATTAATGATCCTTTGCGCTATTAATTAAGATGGCCCATCTCCTATAACTGGCATAAATCACTCTTGTTTCGCCTTTATGCCTTCCTTCGTTGAGTGTGATTTCGAATACCCAAATAGGAAAGCACAAGATAAAGAGGAATTTCCGTTTTTGATATTGCCAGGACATATATTGTGAGTACGTTGATGGATGTTTCAAAGTTTAAAGAATTTCGCTACGAACTTACTATGAATTAGATGCGTTTGCAATATAAACTGCCAGGCAACGTGAAAAATCCGAATTCGAACGGACATTGAAAACTTTGTGAACAAAACTGCACGAAATTTGCAGCATCCACCTAAATCTTCAGGACAATTTATCACTCTGGCCATAGTCATAAATAACCTAGACCTATTGGCGTAGAAAGAAAGACATTATAGATTACTTTTTAAAAATTCAAACTTCCGAAAATACTTTCAGGAATAAAGTGCCCAATAAAATGGCTTCGTTCTTAAATTGAGCGCAGCTAGATAAATCATTTTATCTGCCAGCAGTTTGGAAATTTTTAGAAGAAAGTTATGATACGGCGCATTTTTTAGTTTCTGTTCATTGATTTAATCATGAATAAAAAATGCCAACTAAAGTATAGGTACCTACCTACTACTAATATAAACAGGGTGTCCTACATATATAAAAGTAACTATATGGGGATTTCGGAAACGGTAAGAGATAAAAGAAAAAAAAGTTGCGCTATTTTAAGCCCAATCAGATGCTGCATCGAAATTGAAAATATCTACAGATGTTTCAAAAATATCGAACAAAAACTAAATATTGTGTTTTTCGGAAAAACACAAAAAAAAAACAAATTAATCAAATTCGGCAGTTTGGTATTAGGGCTTTCGAATGACGTTAACAAATTTTTTCCAGGCCTAGTTTTTTTGCATCCATAGCCAACTTTGTTATTTCTCATAGCCGCCGTATTGCTTTTTACGTCATTAAATGGAGCATAAAAAGGGCTTTTTAACCATGTATAACAGGCCTATTTTTGAATGACGGAAAATGTAAATTTATTGAAAAAAGTTTTTCACTCGGTTGTGCCAATGCCGTAATTTTGTTTGTTGTCATAGCTTTGTAACTGTAGATATTTTCAAGTTATTTATAGCATCTGATTTAACTCGAAATAGCGCAACTTATCTCCCATTTAACCAAAATTGTTTCTTTTATCGTTACTGAAATCCCGTTACTTTTACCTAGATACCCTGTATACGAATTTAAGCTATTTGAGTCAATTTACAATAAGTTAGTATGGGAAGAACTGATAGAACAACAAACAGGCCTAATTGTTTTCAAAAGGAACAACGCACATAAAAGAGAAATTACAAAAATTCTAAATGCAAATTGCAAATTAGCGCTTTTGCAATTTCTTGCTCTTCTACATTGTTCAAATTCAAGCATATTTGTAAAATTAACTTACATTTTTAATTTTTTATGGAATCACAAAATTCATGTTTGTTGCAATGATATTCAACACAACTTTAAAGTGTCGCTATTTTTTTTTTAACAAGTTAAAACATTACTAATGATAATAGCCATATTAAAAAAACTCTCCTTAAAGTGCAAAAGTTCTTTTTTATTTAAGTAAATATTACTACAATTTTGATATTTTTTGAACTACCCTGTATGCTGTTTGACTTCCAACCATTCTAAGTGCACCTAATATGATTATCAGACATGCACCAGCTTTTGGCCTTGTTTGTATTTTGATTGTCCTATTACTAAAAAAAAATCCCATATGTTGCACACTTAAGTAATGACACTGTATATTAGGGATCTCGTCTGGCCCAACATTTAGAATTTTACCAATTCAACAATGGAAAAGCTTCAAGAATGGATGATATAGTACCAGAATTGCTGAAAGAGGCAGGAGTAGTCGTTCTGATATACAAAAAAGGAGACTCATCAAATCTTGAAAACTTTTGACCCATGTATCTCAGATATACAAACTGTTTATGAGAATAATCACCAACGGCCTAGAAAGGAAATTCGATTAATAACAATCTGAAGAACAAGCAGGCTATAGAAAGAGTTACAGCACTAGAATATCTTCACACAATAAGAATACTAAATGAAAAGACGACCGAATATAACATTACAAGATGGCTTGTATTCATCGATTTTAGGAAAGCCTTTGACACTGTCGAATTCTGGGTTATAGAATGAGCTATGAGAAATGCACGAATTGATCAGCGATATATATGTTACTGTAAATGCCCGAAATTCGGTAAAACCTAGGATAAGCGCACTAAACCTAGGATTTACCAAAAGCGAGTGGTAAAA